GCGGCGGCGATAGCCGAGAGCAGGGATTTTTCATCAACAGTCTCCAGCGGCATAGTTTGAGCGCTATGGGCTTGGTAGGTTGCGGCATTGCTACTGCTTACGGTGACGGCCAGCAGCCAATTCGTTTGGGTGCGTGTGCATGTTGTAGGACGGTTGGTATTCTTCTGTTGACCATGTGCCTGTTGTCTTAGCCAACCGGGGGAAACCTTCAAAGCAGCCACGCACACCAACAGAATATTCTGAGCAACCGGGGAAAAATATGAAAAAAAAAAAAAACAAGACCCGTATCTACGGGAGACGGATTAGTTGTGTTCAGGTTGAATTGCAAGTATTTCAAGAAAAGACAAAGAATGCGCAACGGGCACAGACATTTCTGTCGTCACATTTGGAAGAAGGAAAAATGTGGTACCTTTTGGACAAGGCACGAAACATGCGGGAAAATGCCAACAAGAGATGTGGGTTCTTTGATTTTTTGTAGTAGAAGCAAAGAAAAAAGCAAAAGAGACAGCTGGACTGACATAACTCGGCGCCCGCCAATCAGCAGTCTCCATTTTCACTCGGCATCCTTTGTCGATGGAATAATTTCAGAAAACGATACCCATGTTTCTTCCTACTGTATGCATGCGTCGAGTTGCAACATTATTGACGCACAATCGGTATCCGACGGCGGCGACTCACACCAGCACTTGAAATACACCTCGACTTTTAGGATTGTACGGACCAAATCCGGCAGGTACCCGGGATTTCAAGCCGGTGATTTCAACCATGCGTTCGAGAAAGTGCTGCAATACTTCTGCCGCGGCATCTAGAGGGAGAGAGAGGCAACGAGGTCGGTCGTTTGGTGAGGCTGGTACGCAGCAGCAGCAGCAGCAGCAGCAGCAGCACGCCACCCGGCGAAAATGCTCCAACAAGCAGGTCGGCGGGACGCGCATCGGTACTCCAGGAACTTGTCTGTGTCAGGATGTACCGGCTGCGAGATCTTTCCAAACAAAAGCTGGATACAAAGAGCAGTTGTTTTGGTGGCGGTGTTGTCAAGGGAGGCATCGAACGCCGTGGGAAAAGTGCCGACGAACTTCCGTTCAGTCCGCGGTGCGGGGGAAAAGGCGATGCGCCGCCGTCCGCTCCTCCCAGCATGCGCGCGCAGCATGGGTGAAAGCCGCAAAGACAAAAAAAAACAAAAGGTTCCCCCGAAGGATGACCTACGGTTTGCAGGCTTCGCAGCACCACGTTATTGTACGCAACCTATGCAGCAAGGCCGTACCCCGTAGCTTGGGGATTGACACAGCGGCCTCGCCAATCCAGCGTCAAAAATCGAGTCGAGTTCCTCCTCTGTGTTTGTTTCTTGCGGTAAATGACCTTGAACCTGACCCAGTGGGCAATACAAAATGGAATATGTCGTGGAACGACAATTTAATTTCTAAACCACACACGGAGTGTTGCGTTCGCAAACGACGGCAGTAGTATCGCCACAAGGAAGTTAGTGCGTGCCCGCTAGTTAGCTATTTAGCACACCAAGGGCGGCACACGCGTTGACAAAAAAAAAAAAACGTTTCACAGGGAGCAGACAAAAAGAGACTTTCATGCGACATGTACTGCTGCCGCTCTCGACCAACCTGGGGACAGAGGACAGACCACTTTCACGGCATACCGTTGGAGGTACCTCGTGCAGCTATTCAGGAGGGCGTGCTCCTGTCCCTCTCGCCGTACCCCAAGGTACCTATTTAGCTGAGACGACGACACCTATCTATCTACACCGTAGTCGGATCTAAAAATAAAGGTATGTTCTCCCTCTCATAATTACTATTTGTTGACCTGAATTGTGTCCGCTGCTTCGCGAACAACAAAGTCTGGATGGGCACAGCAGTAGGATACACCAGTACGCCTTCACACCTGTCAAGGGTGGCTTCGGTGACTGAGAGGGGAGTGTATATGTACGCCCATACGCCGGCGTTGTAGTCTGCCTCAACCCACGCGGGATAGTCTAAGTGCAACAACAAGTCCCATTCAACATAGTGTGAGAGAGACAACAGAACTTTACAGACACACGCCCGGAGCGTACGCGTCCACGCCCCTTGCGAAGGCCGGTGCAGGCTACACGTGCGATCGCCCCTGGCGGGGCTCACGCTTCCTCCCATATCTGCTGCCACCTACTGCTGTGCAAGCAACCAGCTGTAAGCTCTCGGCGCTGACGAAAATGGAGGAACGACGTGCGAATTTGATTTTTCGAGTTTTCCTTGTTGTACACAGAGCAGCGGGTGATCAAACTCAACAACAACACCCACCTGCCACGCCAGGATGTTATTGTCCATCGGCGCCCCCGTGACACCAGACGGAGGGTCGTTCTGGAGCCGCCTGAAGTCCCGCATCAATCGTCTTCTAGCCGGAGTCGACATCCTTGTGAGTGTGAGAACACAACGTTGTGTGTGTGAGCCCGAACCTCTGCCCACGTGTAGATCACACCGCCGGGGACGTTCGCCGCAAGCAAAAATTAACGGTCGTGCTCTCTCCCCAGACCTGCAGACAAGCGTCACCTCAGAGCCAGGCTGCGGTATCCGACGGTGTGCGTGTCTTTAGACCTGGTTTCGGAGAGTGTGCCTGGGTTAGGCGTGGTCTGTGGCATTTTGGACTGGTCGTTCCTCCGACGGATACCCCCCCCCCCCCCCGCTTTGTTTCAATAGACGTTTACGTGGCGACCCCCCATCGAGTGGAGTGGAGTTTGATGGAGTGAGGATATTGGATATAGGAGGGTACCTGCCTGTATGTGGTCGGTATCTTGTTGTCGTGTTGTACAGCAGTAGTCTCCGCAGGTTGGACTGTACCTAGTAGCACGAAACGATGCACCTTGCAGACTATTGATGTGACAAGTTTCTAATTTCATGTATTGCGTCGATACGTTCGGTATTTACTGCCTCTGTGTACAACAGCAGCGAGCAATAGCTGCTGTTACATGTATCTGCAGACGACGAGCAGATTAGCAGTCTCCATCTCTCTTTTCAAACAAAGCCAGGAAAATGCATCATAAGGAGACTGCGCGGGAAACCGGACGTTCGTCCGAAGAGTTCTAGCCGCAAATCGTCCAACATCAGCATCCATCTGCACGTGACATCGACCTGCTTGGAAGCGATTTATGGTGAAATATCTGAGACTCAGAAGCTGCTATCGAGGGTATCATAGAAAGTTAGAACCACCGATTGCTTCCCGTGCTGACAAAAAAATCGGTGGACAAGGCAATCTGTCTCGCCTGCTCTCGGTCACACGTTTCAGCAGTCAAGCAGCTCTGAATGGACGAGAGAGAGGCGGTCTCTACTACAGCTTTCTGCCCTCTCTTGCTATAGCCCCCTCTCCCCCTCCCTGGGGACCGGCTTCGAAGAGATGTTCTGGAGAATTTTTGCTACCTGCTTGTGGAGCAATTCCGAACCATTAACTCTGACGCTCCGAGGGCTCTCGCTCCTTCCCGCCATGTACGTCCATATTCGCAAGATATCCCCACAAAATAAAAGCATCATTTCCAACAACATTTGGAACCCAGCTCTAATAGCTGCATCTACTTCCGTGCCAGACTCAAACCAATTCACTTGGTTGTTGCCTAGAGAACGTGTTGGATTGCTGGCATAGCACCCTGCATGTGCGATAGCAGCGCTCTATACTCGCACAATCTCCCTACCCTCAGCCTACACCGGAGGAGCAGAGAGTTATTTCCCGTAAAGGTGTGCCAACCTCTCCCATACTACATACCTGATACTAAACATTCTTCACGCGGAGGTGAACAACTTAATTCCTCTTACCCCCCAGAAGTTCAGCCGTGGATCCCCCGCCCTTCCCCAGTGAGCCCCGCCGTATTAAATGCTCTCTTCCCAAAGGAAATCTAACAGGGTTTTATTGGATCCATGCGTGGTGCAAGCAGAGCGTGGCCTGATGTGCCCCTTCCTTCTACTATGATCGATCGCTGAACTGGGCGCCGACGAGTTCGTCCTCTTCTACCGATCGGATCGTCACGTCCGACCTGGCGTACGTGCAGCACGTCAGCGCGTATCCCTGGCATGATTTTCAGATAGCGTGTGTATGGGCGGAGAAATAACAGCGAGCGCGAGACCGATATGAGCGGGATGCTTGCGAAAAAACAAACGCAAGATGACGTTCATGGCATGCACATGCTGAGACACGGGAGGAAGACAACTTTGGAGGCACTGCTGTTGCCGAGCAAGCAAACACCAACCGATCAGTCTCCCGAGATGCGCCGCAAGTACGATTATGTGAGGGTGGCCGACAACGAATCTATGGTGCCATGTGTCCTCCTCGAGAAACAAACGAGCCTTTTTTCCACCCATATGTGTTCCACGTCGGTGTCGCCCGTATCATTAAGAAGGGAGTCGAGTCAGGTTAAGAGTGATGCTCGTTTCGACTCAGAGAATACCCGACGCCGCCGTGTATTTCTTTCTCCGAAATGAAAAAAAAGGCGAACACACAACGCAGCATCACCACCAACGACCCAACATTACAGCCACAACTTTCATCATCGAACAACAAACAGCAGAAGAAGCAGAAAAAAGAAGAAAAAAAAATCGTCCTCCACCCACCAGCGCCGTGACGCTATCCTCCAGCGTCCCGTCGCTCTGGTCCACCTCCCCGCTCACCACCTTAGAGGGGCACGTCAGGCACACGCCGAGCTTGCAGTCGTGCGGAAGGTCGATGTCGTTGTCGAGGGCGGCCTCAAGGATGGTGGTGTTTTCGTCCACCTCCAGCACCGTGGACGTTCCCTCGTGCTGGTTCGCAGAAGAAACAACAACGACGGCAATAAATAAATTAAAAAAAGGGAAGCCGCGAAGGATAAAAAATAAAAAATAAAACACAGACAAGAGGCTGTGGTTATGGTGGTCATGACCACATAATGGTGCGACGATGTGGTCACTATCTATTTGAGTTTGGTCCTTCTTGGGGCTGTAGAACAGCGGTGTGGTGTGCCCGTAATCATGGCGGCGGGAGGCCTTGCGCTCGGACTCCAGCACGGTGGATATACTGGTGTACCCGCACACGGTGGATTTACCCTCGCGCTGTAGGTGAGCTACTGTGCACATAACCAACCGGAAAAAAGAACTTGGTAGATACAAAGCAGAGATGCTACCGTCATCAATATGTAGGTTGGTAGGTTCCACAGCATGGTAGTGATGCCAGAGTCGGTAGCGTGCACTATTTTTGTTGGTAGGTTCCACAGCATGGTGGTGATGCCAGAGTCGGTAGCGTGCACTATTTTTGTCCATGTTGGGCACGGACGGTTAAACCTGCTTGAGCTGCACAATCGTACAATAGACGTTTAAGAGTTGACGGATATCGAGGGGCGAAACAACACAAAAAATGAATACTCTTGATACACAAGTCCCGTAGTGTGTTGAATCTGACTCTACCGTTACCCCCACGTCTACGAGGCTTCTAGTGGTGCAACGCAACCTCTATCGACATTCTTGTCCTTCCATCTTTGGCATTCTTGACTAGACTTTCCCCTCAGACACCCTATGTACCCAAATAGACCCCTACTGCGGGTTCGAAAGGCCACCTCATTGGTATCCTACCGATGGCATTGCTTGTTGTGTGCGCACAGAGCGCGAGGGCGACCTCTCCGGTTTCCAAGCTGAACCCTCGATCGAAGTCTATCCTCGGACGAAACGCGAATCGTAAGTATTTCGGTGTCAACAAGGGAGCTCAGGAGAGATGCCCTATTAATAGGTACCGACAAGCCGCCCGCATGAGGAATACTACATAGGAAATGGCGAACACGCCGGAAATCCTGGACGCTATGGCTGCGTGCCGAGCGCCTGCTACGGACCGTCGGGAAAAGGTAACTGTTCTCATCTACTCCTGCTCTTTACCTCTTTTCGAATGGTCATCACGATAGGCCTGTTCCGAACAAAGACATGCAAACACCCAAGAAAAGAACGGAAACAAGGCATACGCGAAACAAAAAACCATGCGACTTGTAAAACCCCCATATATAGTTGGAAAAAAACGAAGACGCCACACCGTATTGCTGCGGCCCGTTCATCCCGGATGGACTCCCGTCCAACCGTACGAAAACTTGCTCAACTCAACAGGTAAGACTACTGTAGGCACCCGTTCTCTCGCAGCGAAGGCGAAAGTTTGCTCGCATTTAAGCCTTTGGTGCGAGAGAACGGGTGCCCAATCCTACCTGTTGGGGTTGAGTGCGTTGACAATGCCGGAACGCGATGCCATCCGGGGTGAACGGACCGCAGCAGCATGTGAATGGTCATGTACTTGTGTATCATGTAGGCCGCACCGGCACTATTAACAATACAATACAGAACGACTTGGCATTTCAGTGTGCGCAAGCCGAAAACATCGGCATTATTGTACCGGGCACCGTTACTAATCAACCGGCAGTGTAGAGGGACCCCCGCAGTATTGGAAGACCAGTCGCATATTTTTCGTCATCCTCGTGTTTTTTTTTTCCTTCTGTGACTCCTGGTGCGCGTCCAAAACGCCGAAAAAGACACATATTTGGGCGTCCAGGAATAAACGGGATGACACACACATTGGGAAACAACCTGAACCTCTGGGGATCGGTGGTCTGAAAGTCCACGAAATCTCCGTTCGCTGCACAGCAGTAGCTCTTGTCTCACCTCAATAGTGACCTGGTGCATCTGCAGGGTAGAGAAGGTTGGCCGCGCGGTTTCTTTTCGTGCCCGCCTCGTGCTATCGCTAGCGCGACTGCTGCCCAAGGTAGCAGCGGCCGATCGGATGGCGGGTGTCCCGTATGGGACAAAGCCTACGCCATGCGGTTGCAAGCCGGGCAGGAGACACAGAGAGAAGGAGTACACAAGCAGCAACAGCAGTTACAGAGATGCTCAAAGTTTATTCGAAGTACATACACATACGCACACGTAGATAGTAGAATAGAGACGTGGGTGTTCCAAGGGCGCCTTGTCTATAATAAGTGCAGCTGGTTTATGCGTATGGGTATAGCCAGGTTATGCCCATAGTCGGGAGTGAGGTGTCGAGATAGGCGTCGAAGAGCATAGGCATATCGGGGTACACGCATCGGTACCGCTCCCCGATGGTTTTTAACCAAATGAAAGTAACGGGTCATAACCGGAGGTGGTACAAAAAGATACGGTGAGGCATAGCACCACGCAGGCTCTGTGGCACATGTTCGCCTGAATGAAAGACCCGGATAATCGAGTGCAGCCATTGTTTGTGCCATGCAAGCCTCCTCTCCCGCCTGGCTGTCGCGGTCAATGCACTTGTCGTATGAAGAGCAATGCAATGCTCTAGCATTGTGCTCACGTCCGGTGCGCTCGCTCATACACGCGCAGATCGAGACTTGGGTGTTCAAGTTTTCGGCATGACGTAATCTGACTCGAAGGTTCCACAGCATGATCAGATTGCACGTGTTCATGATCGATCATGATCATACCCACGGACCATGGAAAGTTTTCTCGGTGTTGCCTAGCCTCGCACAGGCGTGGAAAGATAGGAATGTATCACGAGCACAAGCGTACGTGGACACACAGCCTGGTACCAAGGACGCCGCTAACGACACCGACACACGCGAAGTGGACACATGGACACACACATGCTCCGAGGATGCCGCAATCGAACATGCGGGTCTGCCAACACAAACGCACGAAGATGTAACTCTCGAAGCCGACGTCTCCATCAACCGACTACTGCTTGTGGTGCGTGTGGTGCGTGTCGCGCAGAACAGTCCGTCCTTACATGATCTCCCTCCCTCGCACACACGCGCACCTTGTGTGACGCCCATCAAAGCCAAGAATGCTCCCGCTGTACACGCGTCAACGCCCCTCATTGTCTCGCGCCGCCGCTGCTGATGTGCTCTCACACACGTCTCCGCTCTACTTCCCACGACAGCTGCTGTCGATCCCCTTAATTATCCCGGCGATCAACACCCCCTCCTGCTGCTGCTGCTGTGATCTCGTTCTGATCTCCCCGTCTCTCTCTCTCGGCTGCTCTCCCTCCCCCCCTCACGTGCGCGCCGCTCTCCTCTCTCCTTTTTTTTTTTCAGGCCAGCCCCTAATCCCGACCAAAGAACGCAAATCAAGGTCGTGAAACCTTTTGTTCGGCGTAAAAAAAGGTAAATGTCAGGCCGCACCTTACTACCACCGCTATCGTTCTAGCATTACGACAAAGGAGCAGCGGCACTCCGTACCTACCTCTCGTACCTACCTCACGGACGGTGCTACACTACGTATCTGTACGATTTGACTGACCTACGTGCCACTGGCTTGACACACAGCAGCGGGGACTTGCCGTGACAAACAAAGCATACGCTGAGCATTAGCATTTGTTCGCCAGCACAGCCAAAGAGCTCTGCTCTCTGTACCCCCTGTTCTACGACTTGTTCCTACTTCAGTCGGTGACTGCAGCAGCTGAGATCGCGAGCCCAGCGAGCTGGGACATCCGCGAGAGAGAGAGCGGTAGAATCGCGACCATGTCGACCTTTGCAGACGCTCCGGAAGTGACGACAACAACACAGCAGCAGGCATCAACAACGACCGCGGCGTCGTTACGAGGTTCGACACCAGAGGCCGTCGTGACAGCTGCGACAAACGGCAGCAGCAACAGCTGCAGCAGTGCAACCACTAGCGAGCTAGCGGAGGATGGGTACCCCAAGGACATGGAGATCCCCATCCGCTACGTGAAGGGCATGGAAGGGGACGTTGTCGAAGCTCGCCGACGATGGATCGCCACCCTTAAGGTGAGGGAGCCCGCGGCCGCCCCATGAACTGCGCTTGTTCGGCAGAACAACAATCTCGGGTGTAAGTCAGATATTAGAAAGTACACAGCAGCAGCGGTTAACCCCGCATCTTTCGGGCGGGGGTGCCCTCTCGTGGGCAGGCCCGGGGGAAACAGCACGGCAGGTAGTGGGCCGCGAGGCTCGCGTGCTGCCTGCCTGAATCACATAGCAGTTGCTGCCGCGCTATCGCCAGAGTTGTTGCACGTCGGCGTAACTTGATGATGGTGCGTGCTGTCGTTGCCGTCAACACATCACACGTGTATGGATGTAGTACAATACACGACCGAAGCAGAGCATCCTGTGGGGGTGCTCGAGAGGCGCGAAGTGTGACTCAGGGGTATAGAGGATTCGCTGCAACGCATGCGCCGCACGTGAAACAGCACACGGCAAAGCGTGGGAGTGAAACGTTTGTACCGGCTGTATTTTACGTGAGTGCCCTCGTTGCAGCAGAGCCTTCGGGGTAGTTGCTCGGATATTTTCGGCCTTGTTACCCAAGACACGGAAGATCCCCCAGCAGAACGGTTCGAAGGATGCAACGCGTGGGATAGCAGACTAGTGCATGTGTATACCATGTTCGAACGATGCACGTGCTATTATCATGCATCAAGTGAGGGCTGTCAACTTGATCGATGGTAGAAAGAATCGCGTGCTGAGGTAAAATTCTCGCTGGCGGTACAACTACCGCTTGTTTTTGGGATGGATTCCAGGGACTCAGCGACCACATGTTCTCGGGAGTGGGAACACACCACGACACGCGTTTTATGAGGTCCTTCTCCCTTGAAGTGGCGTTCCGCTGGGCAAAAATCCCTATTCAGGGGCTGGCGAAAACGAGAGCATGGCTTTCTGCAGGTGTTAGAAACCGGCAAAGCCAGAACCGGGAGGCTGAGGTTGTTTTTGTTGTTGTGTTGTGACTACAAAGTGCTCGAACTTCGGAAGCATAGTATGCGATTCTCCAAACCAACGCCAACGCCTACAGGAGGTCGCCAGTTGTTACTCCCACAGAGAGGGCAAGTCACGAGTCTCGTGGATGATCAGAGGCCCATTTATTGCAAACTTTTTTCTGTTAAATTGGTTTTCCTGTGACCAGAGAGGGAGTGATGTCATATTCAAAGAACGTCTTCGCCTTTCGACGCGCCAACATCTCGGATTATTCCGAGGCGTAACGGCCGGCTTGTTGCCACACCCGAGCCCCCAACGTTATTCAGGAGCATCCAAGAATGCCGCACGTGTTGAGCAGAACTTTGCATCACCAGCTCCCCTTGCTTCGACAACAAACGAGGGAGGGAAGGCTAACAACTTATTCTTTCCGAACGCCCACGGTAGCAAGATGTATCGCAGCAAACATGTTTTTTTCGCTATTGATTTTGATGGGGGTTCTTCCCGGCAATGGTTTGAAAGAGTTTTCGCCGTCCGCGATGTTGCGTTTAGCAATGACCGTTTGCCAGCCGTAAGCCACAACATGCTAACCGGGTGTAACGATTGTCCTTGTCCTGGCACCAAGAAGTGAAATACACCGCTTCTGTTGGCGTGATCCTGTGGCGCATCACGTTGCGCACACAACTGCTGTTGCTGGTGAACGAAAACCACGCTATCTCTCTCTCGTCCAACAACACTAACAACACTTGCAGTTTCACGACGAAGCCCATCTACTCCAATCATGCTGCAGTAGATTACTATCGTAGGTAATGCCGATGGCCCTTCCGGTGGCGTTGTTGAAACCCGCGTTATTGGGATGGCCATGGCCGGTCCCTTGAGACAGGGTGAAGGGGTCGATCGAAAGCATCCGCCGGCAGCAGGAGGGAAAAATACTGTCGAACTGTTTTCCTCGAGGCACGTTCTGTCCACAGCAACCAACACAAAAGACACAGCTGGCCGTGTGCCGGAACCAATTGGACTGGGAAACGGGCTCAATCGATGGCCATTCACCGACAACGGCGTAAGGCGTAAGGGTTCACGAAGACGTCGCCGCCGACGGTATGCTCTTCCCTTCCAGCAAGAATCTTGAGTCTCGCTGCTGCAGCATCTTTTGGCTGTTGCTGGGGTTGTGGTTTCCGAAAATAGGAAACGCCATCCTTCCGCCTTGACCTCATGTCCCAGCACCAGGTTCGACTTGCGCTCTCTCGCCCCTCAACTTCCAACCCCAATGCCCAATGCCCCGTCCTCTCGAGGACGCGTGGTGAATGCTCTAACAGCCAAGGCATGCAAAACATTAAGAGTACCCCCCCCCCCTTCCCCTGTTGCATATGGAAACCCCGTTTTGACAGTGGAGAGAAGAAGAAAAGGTGGACGGTATCTTGGACGAGGCTTGCCCCCACTTCGACATCATCAAGAAGTACTACCCGCACTTCTACTTCAAACACGCAAAAAACGGTGAGATCCCCCCCCGGGGTGGTATACTATTGCCTCGCAGCTACAGTATCCCTCGAAAACCAAGACGAGTGGTGTAATGTATTCCCACTCCGTAGCTGAGCTCGCTGATTCCGCGCTACAATTTTGTATGCATACGACCTGCTACAGAGTAGTGTCACAGGGTTTTCGGGCATGCATGCATGCGTTAGAAAAGCCCTGCGTGCGATAGAAAAGGATCCATGGCGGTTCGTTCCATGGCGTTTTTCGAAGGCACACCGTCCGTGTGCACCCGTAGCTGTGGCCGTACCTACGGCTCTTGCCGCCTGGCTCAACTTTCCCGCAGCATGTCGGTAGAGAACCGGTGTTTCACCGGTTCACGAAAAGGCCCATTCCGTGTGTCAAGTACCTACACGAGTCACCCGCTGCCGTGCCCCCGAATATTTCCCCTCAGTTCGAAGGCATATCAGCCCAAGTGCGTTTGTCGTCTTGGCATGTCCTTGCGTATGCCAGGGTTTCTTCCCGTCCAAAGGTATCCACGTGTTCAACAACGCAGCGGCAGGACCAGCCGCCTCAACAGTATGTTCCCAGCTGTCGACTCTCTTTTTTCTGACTTGATTCGGCTCTTGGTCTGCCCTCCCCCCCCCCCCCGGTGTCTGCCCAACTCTGCGGGACCCCCACAGGTAGCGTAGTGTACTACGAGATCCCCGGTAAGATCGACCTAAACAAACTGAGGGAAAACGGTCTCGACATGGACTCGCTCTGCCGCCACTACGTCTACATCACGGAGTTCTTGTGGAAGGTGAAGAACAAAGCCCGTCATCGACGTAGACAGACAAATACGCATTTCTCGCCTCCGTTAGCACACGGCCGGAGGGGGTTCCCTCCGTCCGCTCGTGTCTTTTTTTGGGAGATTTAGTAGATCTTAGTCGGCTGATGTTGAGTGGTACGAATAGGTAGGGTTGACCAAAAGGTTGTTGGTTCAGCCGTTTCCTGGAGGCTGTTTGTCTCCGTGCTGGTGTTTTTGTCACTGATCCCCTGGCCGCCAGCCTCTGCCACCTCCTCAAGCCTTCGGTACTTTTCTCACCTTGGAGCTAAACACCCCCTTCATACCTCCCTGTTTCGTGTTTTTTTTTTTGCATTCGTGCCCTTTTTTTGGTATTTCGTGCATTTTGGGTGGGGAACCAAATGCACATTTTGGCGATGGAACTACAAATGCGGCGGAACTAATGCGGCCAAACAGGAGCTCGACAAGAACCCCGAGGGGAAACTGTTCACGTGCATGGACATGAAGGGGACCAAGCTCTCCATGTTCGCGGGAGAGGTCAAGGTGTGTGAGAGTAAATAAAACTTTCCAGGTCTCGTACACCGTTCGGACTGGGGTAGATCATTTTGCCCCGGGGAGTGCCTTCAAACCGAACACTCCTTATACTGAACACTCCTTAAACCGGAGTCTTGTCCTCGGATTGTCGCTCGCAAGGTTCGGGGCCACCATCGGACCATGGCTGTTTTGTGGATTTATGGACGGGTGATACGCAGACGCTGCTGGTAGATGGCATGGGGGAGGGTACAACGTTCAGGAGAATCTAACTATTAATGATCCGAGGACGGCCAAATGAAGAAACAAGATGTTTGTACAGGATGGCAAAGGTACACACATGCGAAATTCACAGCAGTGAACAGTGGAGAACCGTGCTGATCATGTAGTGGTGGTCATATGATGATGCAACACCTTTTTTGCTAATTTTGCGACGTGGCAACAGGAGTTCCTGGTGCGGTCGGCGAAGATGGTGGGAGCGCACTACCCTGAGCGTTCGTACAAGATATTCATCCTTAACGCTCCCTGGTGGTTCAGCGTCGTCTGGAAGGTGCGAAGCGTGTTCGAAGTGGGGGGGGGGGGGGGGGGGGGGGTAATCCGGTTTTTGATCGCACATTTTTTGGATCCATTTTTCACGCTGATTTTTGGGGAGGGGGGGGTTGGCTGGTGCAACCGAAGACCAAACCTTGAAAGCGGCATACTTTATTCCTTACCGGTCCCGGAGGTTTACCATTTTTTATTTTTAGGGCATGTTTTTTGATATTGGGGGGGGGGAAATGGGG